CTAGCTAATAGATAGCTATTACTTTAATACATTTAAATGCTTCGACTGAGACAGCACAAATCCCGCTCATTTATGACTGCACCTCCAGTAATGGGGTGTTGATTCCTCTGGTATTGGTCGAAACATGTCGGTCGGGGCCGTTTAAAGTCTCGTTGTGACTGCAATTTTTATCGCATTTTCTCATTTATGTCCTACACTATTGTGCTCGCTATGTTCGTCTGTCTGTCCATCTGTCCGTCCGTCCGTGACCTCAAGTTTTCGTTGACGAGAAAATGCGCTCTCTGTCACTCACTGCAGTGAGTACTGATCCAATTTTTTCCTCACTTGACCATGATGCGGGTCAGAATGTGTAATAAAATCTTTGGATTTTATAAAATTTTAGCCACACCTTACGTGGGTTACGTGTACTGCTTGTCTGACTACCAACTCCCCAGTCAGCATTTCAGGAATGCCCTCCCATCGTATAGATGTTTGCGATGTTGAAATGAGGATTCGGATGATGAGATATATTTTAAAATATGGATATGAGTCGTGCTTCATTTTAAGTTTATTGTGAAAGTAATTTTATCAACGAACATAAACTAGGAGTGCCATAAAATTAGAATCATGCAGCTAATTGCCGGCAAGGATTGTTTTCGTAATCGACTCTGTTTATGTATTTGCACAACATTTTGTGTTTTAATATTATCGATCTTTGATAATGTTTGTGACTGCAATAGACTTCTGCTCGAGGAAAGGCTTTTTATAGTTTTTCAACAAGAGAACAGCAAGGAATTGCTCCTAACTTTCGCACGGTCCCACGGAGTTCCTTCATTCTGCAGGTACTTGGCAATAAACTTCATTGTTTAATGAAGCTAACATTAAACTTCCTTCATCAACTTCATTGTTTAATGAAGCTAACATTAAACATCCTTCATCAACTTCATTGTTTAATGAAGCTAACATTAAACATCCTTCATCAACTTCATTGTTTAATGAAGCTAACATTAAACTTCCTTCATTAACTTCATTGTTTAATGAAGCTTACGTTAAACTTCCTTCATTAACTTCATTGTTTAATGAAGCTAACATTAAACTTCCTTCATTAACTTCATTGTTTAATGAAGCTAACATTAAACTTCCTTCATTAACTTCATTGTTTAATGAAGCTAACATTAAA